GTGGCTGTTGGCTTTGAACAGCACAGAGAGGGGGCGATAGAGTTGGAGGTCTTCCTCTTTTGCGAGGTTTACTGTCCGTGAAGTTGGAAAATGTGGCCAAATTGGAGGGAACGATGATATTACTGGTCGCCGCCAAAAGGGATTTTGGTTTCCGACCTCTTTTTCGAGAGGAATGCGATGATGGGTTGTATTGAGGAGTATTGATGGCTGAGATGCCAGTGATGTTTGGGCTGACATTGTTGTGACTCTTGTGACTATTGGGTGCGTTTGAATGGCTGGAACGGCTGTGACTCGCATCCCAACTATGGCTCGATTTCGTAAATATCGAGCTCTTTCTGCTTACACTTGAACTCTCATTGGACTCATCTTTGGGTTTCTTAACGCACAGATCCAAAGGCATAACACAGTCTTCTTCTTCATGATTACTCATTGTATTAGTATTTCTAATATTTTTATATTTTTTATCACAATTTTCATTGACTTCATCACGATTTTTAGGTCTCAAAAGAGGTATCGCTGGTTCTCCAACTGATGCATGGGTTTGGGCTGAAGTATTAAGATCTACCAAACCTTTGATCGTCTGTCTCTTTTCTATAACACAAATTAAATTACATTAAATTTAATTAAGCTTTTAGTCACAGTAATGACAAAATTCAGTGAATAAGACTCACTCGAATTGTGTACTGCATGTGAACTATCATTACTTGTCATCACAACACTGCAAACAAATCATTCAATTTTTGTTAATCCACTCCAAAATGATTACAACAAATGTGTTAAATATGAAAATATTATATACCGATTGATGGCTGAGTTTAAATCTTTTGTAATAACATTGTTATCACTTAATTTGGAAGAACTTCTCCGAAGCAAATGATCGTATAGTAGACTATTGGTATAACTTTGTGGACATTTGTCTTCACGTACTTTGGCACCTGTTCTCAACATTGCAAACAATTTAGTTTAGAAATAATGCGATATTTTGCGAAACTTATTAAAATGAAAAATCTATATAAATGGTTGTCAAATAAAACAAATGTGAAATCATTTCAAGAGATGTGCGAATGAATTGAAATAAAAGGCCAATAAATATAAATATAAAATGAAAAAATGAACGAAAATATAAATGAATTGTTTGAACGAATAAACAAAATATCGACTAAATTGCGGCAAAACACAGTACAATACAGTCAAATGAAATGTCATTGCAATTGGGTTTACACTGAAATGAATGGTAAATCAAACGATTGGTTTGAAACTCACTTCGAAATTGTGTGGAATTCATAGAATTAATGGTGAGATTGGCGTTAGTTTTTCCGGTGCCACCAGAAACCAGATCCACGGGTGACCACAAACTCATAATTAAGACATTTGTTTCATTTGACACTCAAAGGCAAGAGACAGTGGAGTGAAAGCCGACAATACATTGAGTGAAAGGAATTCATTGCGAATATTAATTGAGTTCTTCTTCAATGGCTAACAATAAGTGTTTGATATCTAAGCAAAAGCGACACATCTTTTCAGAAGTGGTAATCAAGTAATCAATAATTTATATAAAGCTTAAGCAAAGGCTTAATCAATGAATCCAATGCTTAGCGACTGTTTGCTAAAGTGTACAAAACATATAGAAAGCTATTGTATAAATCAATTCATATTCAAATGCATTTGCGACCAATTAATTATCAAATGCTGACCACTATATCACCAAATTGGGACTCTATGTCAAGCATGACCAATGTTTTGGTTCAGCTAGGTAATCACTTATGACATTGTCAATCAAATATGACCGCTTTGTTAGTTTATGTACGAGTTTGCAATGATTTAGTATTACTTTTAAAGTACATATCATTTTGTGAAAAAATATTTTGCAATAAATATAATGAATATAATATAATATAAGCGCAGAATCTCTTGTGTAAATTCATTTCACATATAAAATATATCGTAATATTGTATTGATTTTCGTTACTCTAAATGATATTAAGTGGTCGTCTCTATACTCGCAGCCTCTGAAGAGCACCTCTTTCTCAGTGTTTCTGTTTGTCTCCGTTTCTTTGGTTGCCATCATTTGATGCCATTATTTCATACCATTTCTTAAATATAGCAGTTTGTAGGCAATGAGTGTGAGTGCGGTCGGCCCTCACCAACACTCAGAGCACTGCTCTCTCTCTCTCTCTCTCTTAGGTCTGGAAAGTATTATTTGATATTCATTTTCACAATAATTGAGTTTATATAATATATATCTAATATTTCTATACATATATTGTATTATAAGACATAAAACAATTCAAAAAACTCAAACTCGAAATTTATTTCTCTCTTTCCCTCCCTGTCACTAGAGAATGATTAATTACTGGCTCTCTCACTCACTCACTCACTCTTATGTCATGCAAAGCATAACCAAAGCCATCACTACTTCTCTATAAACTTCCTTAAAAAAGGCACTCATTTCAGGCACAACTCATAACTTGTTTTATGTCTTATAATACAATATATGTATAGAAATATTAGATATATATTATATAAACTCAATTATTGTGAAAATGAATATCAAATAATACTTTCCAGACCTAAGACACCATCTTATCGTACAATCCACTCATTTATTCATACATTCAATCATAACTATTATCGCATTATTGCCACACTATTCACAACATAAGACAAATGCATACATTTTACTAATTATAATCAAATCAAAACCAAATTAAATTGCATTTTGATTTACATCAATTTAGACTAAATTAACTAATTATAAATATTATAACAAATTATAGCAACTTGCTACATATTGGCAAAAAAATCTTAATCCTATAAATAGTGACAAAATAATTACTAATTAAAAACAATAAGATTAATACATAATTAAAAATAGACAACAAATCATTGTCTGAAGACTTGACTCAACAATATTGTAATCAAATGAATACAAATGAATTGATTGCGAAATGCGAGCAAAAATATGTGCCATTTATGTATCAATTAAATCACTCATTCATTACTAACTCAATACCAATTGTCTTCAGGTGTCGAACAATATTATGGTTAACACAGTCATCACAGATGTGGATGTGTTGACCACTAAGACACAAGACATGTGCCACTGTTTACATACATTGCAATCAATTTAATCACATGAATGTCAGTGTGGTTTGAATTGTCAAACACAACACTATCACCAATTAATTGGTCCACACTACATATGGCCACTAAGAAAAGCTTATCTGATGGTAGATAGTGACAGATTAGGAGGACTGGTAGTACAGAAAGTGAGGCCTACCTATGGCTAATTGAATTGATAGCAACGAGTGATCAACACTCAGACCTTTACCTCATATGCGACCAAATGGGTGACGGATTGGAGCCAATGGGAGCCTGAGCTGACCAGCGATGACAGTTGACCACCGATTGCAGTGATTGTGTCAATGGTATGGATGAGACACAAGACAACGTTTACATTGATTGATATGACTGTGGATTGTCTGCAGTGGAGTAGTCTTTGTTCACATCTATGCTATGCTATGATTGCACCGGCAGTTCAGTCGAGTCTACTATACGTACAAAACTATACATACAATGCATTAATAGAGAGGCAATCATTGAGTGAAAATGGATGGCATTTGTCTATTATGAGATCAAACACTCGCATATATTCACACTACCAGTGCATGTACTATATTATAGTGAGTACACTATTACCCCAATACTAGCTATAATATTATCAGTCAAATCCCATTTGTCTCACTTGTATTCAAATATACTAATCACGTGACCTTTACTTCATATTATCGCCAATTGTCCATCGCTTACACCAATGAACTCATCATTGAATTGAGTTTATTATAATTATAACAATCTATAAGTCTTTTAATGCAAAAAATCAGTTTCAATACAATAGAGATCATAGAAATTCTGAACACTTTCGGCAGTAATTGATTGGCTCTGAAAAGAGCCGTTTGTGTGACCTTTGGTGAGGATTTAAGCCTTTTTGGGCGCTGTCTTGCTTTTGGGGGCCTTTTTCGGTGTCTTTTTGGCGGCGGGTTTGGCTTTCGATGACTTCTTGACGGACTTTTTCGGTGATTTCGCAGTCTTTGGTGTTTTCGACTTCTTCTCGACCGTCTTCTTAGCTTTGGTCGCCTTTTTCGGTGACTTTTTGGTCACTTTCTTGGCCTTAGGCTTGGGTTGGCTGTGGTCGGGGGCGGCGGCTGTGGATGGGGTTGTGGTCGATGTGGTGGTGGTCTTGGCTTTGGGCGCCTTTGCGGTCGTCTTCTTGGGACTCGATTTCTTGGATTTGGTGCCACTCTTAGCACTCTTCGCAGTCTTGACGGTCTTTTTAGTGCTCTTTTTGGCGGCATTTGCGGCCAATTTGAAGGACCCGTTCGCTCCCTTGCCTTTGGTTTGAGTCAACGCTCCGTTAGTGACCGCAGACTTCAAGTACTTCTTAATGAAAGGCTGGAGTCTCTCGACGTCGACCTTATAGTTGGCTGCGATGTACTTCTTGATGGCCTGAGAGGACGACCCGTTCCTCTCCTTCAGACTCGCGATCGACGCCAAAACCATTTCAGAGACCGGCGGATGAGTGGCCGCGGGTTTGCTCTTCTTGGCAGCCGATCCGCTCTTCGCCTTCTTCGGGGTCTTAGCCTTCGATGGCGTCGTCGTCGCCGTTGTTGTCGTCGTTTCAGACATTATTACCGTTCAGTCAATCAATTCAAACAAAACTCAATCCAAAGTCAATTCAATTGTAAACACTTTTGCGCCAAAACTCTACTATTTATAGCGCATAAGCGAACCATATGTGGACTCATTGCCAGCCAATCACAGCCATCACACACACAGTGCCCGGCAATCGCTGTCCAAGTCGTGTGATTTGGATCCTCTCTTATAGCACACCAAATGTATGGCAATTGAGTGCATGAATTGAAATCAGAGAGTTGTCAAATTGTTGTTATGTAAGTGATCTAGGTGTTTTAGTGATTATAATCATGATATTCATACTAACATACAGTATGTCATAATAATAGGACACAAGAGTTATCCCAAAAGTTTCAAAGTCTGAGCGCTTGGCTCGCAGTGAATGCAGTGATTGGTGGAGACGTGTGCCACTCGTAGCAGCCAATGGTTGTGCAGTATTAGTGCGTGAGTTTACGTGTCGTACGTGTAGTGGATATATAAGGCGGTGTGAGGTCTGAGTGTTTCTCACATTTGATTGCATTTCGTGTTTCGCACTAAAAGTCAAATCCATTGAAAGCAATGTCTGGCAGAGGAAAGGGAGGCAAAGGTTTGGGAAAAGGAGGCGCCAAACGTCACCGAAAGGTTCTTCGCGATAACATCCAGGGTATCACCAAACCCGCCATCAGACGTCTGGCCCGCAGAGGAGGCGTCAAACGTATCTCTGGTCTGATCTATGAGGAGACCAGAGGTGTGCTGAAGGTATTCCTCGAGAACGTGATCCGAGACGCCGTCACTTACACCGAGCACGC